CTGCTTCATCCTAGTCTGAGGATCATCTGCAGTACGCACCCACTGGGGTTCGAACCCATGACCTTCTGGTTCGTAGGCAAGCTCATATACCTTGATTGGACACTAGTAACTAGTGCGATGTGTTTAGTCCTTTCTTTGATGCAGACTGAATTCTATCAGTCAGGTTTGTAATGTGGCCACCATTCTAGGTAGCTCGCCATCACGGTGCACATTGATTTGATGATATTAGATGGTTAGAATTCTGTCTGCAGCAAAGAAAGGATTAGACACATCACACTGGTTACTAGTGTCCAATCAAAATATCCACTACAGTCCTACAGGAGGTCAACCAAGCGAGCCCGAATAACTTGCTCAGTGGTAACGTCTCTGACTGCAGCACTGGGTGACGCGGGTTCGAATCTCAGAAGGGACATGATTTCCTTCAAGGCTGCAGATACAACTTGCAGACTGTTGAGTGCTAACTAGCACGAAACCTAGGTGTAGCCAAGGCTTCCTGTGGCCGATTGCCTCCAACCACCTATATCATCAAGCTCATATACCATTCAGCCACTGGGACCGGATTCAGTGGCAAGCCCATGAATTCTAACTTCTACCAAATCGTCGTTTAGCGCAACCACCAACCAATGTCATCGGTGGGACATCCATCCTCATATTTGACTGGATGGACCTCACTGGTTACGACTTATCACTAGAACTCCAGGAAACTCCGTTTTGTAGCAAGTCACTAGCGAGCATCAGTTTAATTTTCAATAGTTGATTTGTGAGGATTAGATTTGTTTTCCGAGTATGACCACGGATTGATATCGGTTAGAACCCCAGTGGGTGCGTACTGCCGGTGATTCCCAAGCACTAGGATGAAACAGCTGTCCAGTACTCCAGTACTGGTTTTCAATGGTTCTCTAACTGATATCAATCCGTGATCAACTCATCAAAATAGTTATTAAGTTTTATTAGTCAATGCTCATTACAATGACTTCAACAAAAAAATTAAGCAATAAAATTAAGTGTATACACTATGTTCACAAATTTTTAAAAATCACTGATCGTGTGCAACTTGATGCATCCCCATTTACAGTTTAGTAATGTACTGATAATAAGTGTAATCATCTGCTGTTTTGGGTCTTCATTATCATGTATACACGTTCCGCTTGCCATCGAGATACTTCTCGACTGATATAGCACAGTTTGCAGTTAAACTGTGGAGATATTGTTGGCACAATAATTTTCTGATGCTGTTTGCCGAATTCAGAGAGATGACGAAGCTATAATAGTAGAAGAATGTATAACATTTTTTCGAAAATTTAAAGAGTTAAGGGCTTCGACACAACGTGATTACAGCGAAGTTCACCTACGTACTTCTTTGTAGTATTATTTCAGATACTTGGTTTTATGATAACTGATATATTGGAGGTTGAATGGAGGCGTCCGAGGAAACCCGCTAGTGTTTTGTTGGCTGCAGTTGTAGTATAATGAAATTAACGCATATAAGTTTACGATATTAGACCTGTCTGTCTGTTTTCGACATAGAACTTTGCATCGATGTGCAACAGTTCAAGTCGCCACACTCCCTCCATGTAACACACAAAGCAAGAGAAGAAAGTAGAAGAAATGCATAATAGAGACAGTAGACAGGGATATGAGACAAAGGAATAGTAATAACGAAGAACAATATAGTTTCATTGGAAATCATAAGTCACAAGGAGTGGATGCATCTGCGCCGGCCATTGAGAACGATTTTGAGTCATATCACCGATTGTCTCCAGCCTTCATTGGTTTTTACCGTCCCGACGATCCCAACCAGGAAGCCTACATGTTCCTACGTGACTGACTTAGGCTAACTGTTGTTGATTTGATTGACTGGTGAAGCCATGTTTTGGTTTGACCGCTGCCAGCTCTTTTCCGGCCTGACCCTATGTCAGCTAACATTGCCCGTCGAGGAAGGCTATGGCTAGGCATGCGTAACACATGTCGGCGATCATACCACGTTGAAAGCACCGGTTCACGTCCGATAATAGACCTACCTCAGTACGTTACAGTACCAGTGGAACACCCTAGAGTACTGAACAGCTGTTTCGCCAGCCTAGTTTTAACCGAGGACATTCTGTTTAGAAGGCGAGCTCGAAGACCATTAAGCTACTGGAACCTGATCCAATGGAGATAAGTTTCTATGAATTGTAGCCATGACAACTTGAAGAGAGAGATCTTGGAAATAATCCGTCTGTCTTGAATTTCATTTTAGTTGAAACAGCGTTTATAGATAAGACATGAAAGCTGATCCGTTTTCAGTGTGTCTAATTACCTAAAAGTTAGACAGTGACACTTTAAAAGTATCGTGTGGGGAAAGCATACTGACATCTCTGTGTATTAAGGTAGAATACACATGCTGAGTTGTTGTAAGGTAACACTTCTATTTTTAATTCATGAAAAATCCCCATTCGAACATCAATACACAGAAGACCAGTAGATCAGCGAAGAGACTCTTTTCGGCGAATTCATTTTCATAGCTGTACAATCACAAATATATATGGTTGTTTTGCATGTGTGTGTACATTAGATTTGTCAAACGAAAATACAGTTAGTAAGTTTTTTGGTGGAGCTACGTAATACAAAAGCCTTTCAAATGAATTGGATGTTTATATAAGAGGGTAGTAACAAAAGTGATGAGTTGTCACAAATGATTGTTAAAGAAGAGTTAAGTAATCACATGAATAGTTTGATGAAAGAACAGTTAATCAGTCTTGAAGTTTATGATCATATTCGACCTACAGGATCAATAATACCAAGACTATACGGCTTACCAAAGATACATAAAGCCAACCTCCCACTGCGTTCAATTTTGGATATGTAAGGTTCCCCGTACCATTCAATAGCGAAATGGTTAGCTGATATTTTGTAACCTGTACAAAAACAGATGTGCCACTATTCGCTTCGTGACACCTTTCAGTTCGTCGACTATATACAAGATATCAATGTAACGAACAAAAATATGCTCTCTCTTGATACTGAGTCACTATTTACCAACGTTCCACTCACAGAAACTGTCTGTCACATTTGTCAATATATAGACGAAAACCAGTTGAAAATCGGATTACCGACGACTTGTTTAAAAGAACTACTATTGAGACTTACAATTAATGTGCAGTTCACATTCAACGATGTTATTTACAGACAACAAGATGAGATAGCAATGGGATCTCCACTGGGCCCATTGCCAGCAGACTGCTCCGTGGCAAACCTCGAGAACGGCCCACTTAAATCAACCATTGATAATTTTCAAATGTATGCTAGATATGTGGACGACATCTTTATTATCTGTGATGATGGTCTCGATCTTAATCAGTTACTGCAAATATTCAACAACTGCCATCCAGCCACAAAGTTCACTTTTGAAATTGAAAACGGATCTAAAATTCCTTTTCTTGATGGTGAACTTACAAGAAGAGCTGACGGAACTTTAAGAAGGTCTATCCGTGGGAAACCCAGATGGAATGGCCAACTGACAAGCTTCTACAGCTGGGTACCAATCAGTCGAAAAAGAAACCTAATTAGATCTCTTGCCACTCGCTTCCGACGCATCTGCAGCTCTGATACCCTGGAAGAAGAACTACACTTCCTGAAAGAAATCTTCATACATAACGGTTATCCATCTAGATTCATAGACAAAATCACCAAACAGAAAATCCAAAAGCAAGAGACGCCATCCGCACCAAAATAGATACTTTATGTGAACCTCGACTTCAAAGGTGACCTACTCAGTGATGTCCTTAGGGGGAGAATTTCCACTACTTTAAGAAGAACTTTCTTTGCGGCAACACTGAGAGTAGTGTCCTCCAGTCGCCCGCTGATCTACAGAAGCCCAAAGGACAAGATCCCGCAACTGACCACTTCTATGTGTTTATATCAGTTCACCTGTTGCTGTGGAGCCATGTATATCGGTCGTTCAACGCGCATCCTGTCAAAAAGGGTCAAAGAACACTACCCAGCGTGGCTGCAGAAAGGAAGTAGAGGCCGAATAAGGAGTGCAATAATCGAACATCTTGTCAACATTGATCATTCCATCTCAACAAACGCCTCCTTCAAAGTAATCTACAAAGTGAAGAACAACTGGCCAAAGGAAATATGTTTCCGTCTTCTTTTCATTTGACGAAGCCCTAGCCATTCAATTGGAAGAACCAGAACTATGCATACAAAAGAAAACTATTCAACCACTTCTAGTCTCATGGTAGAAACTCTGTTGATTTGACTTAACTTTTGTTTGTATGCTTATTTTTCTGACTACTTAAAACTCTTGCGTAATTCTGTATGTTATTTTGTTTCCATGTACACCTTGAGCACAACTCTCTCATCAAACTATTCATGTGATTACTTAACTCTTCTTTAACAATCGTTTGTGACAACTCATCACTTTTGTTACTACCCTCTTATATAAACATCCAATTCATTTGAAAGGCTTTTGTATTACGTAGCTCCACCAAAAAACTTACTAACTGTATTTTCGTTTGACAAATCTAATGTACACACACATGCAAAACAACCATATATATTTGTGATTGTACAGCTATGAAAATGAATTCGCCGAAAACAGACTCTTCTCTAATGCCACTATATCTGAAGTCGTATAACTCTTCGGTTTCTATTAAAATTGTGATCACTGATAAGAAAGCTCACTCGAATCCCGGAGGGTGCGTACTGATGAAGAGTCCCAAACTAGGACGAAACAGCTGTCCAGTACTCCCAGCTGGTTTTCCAGTTGTTCTATAACTGATGTCAGCTCATGATGAAATCCTCCATGCAATCAAAGCTCAATGACTTGGTAATGAGCAATCATATGAAGTTAAATAGTTGTGCGTTAAATTATAATAACGCAATTAATCACCTCGCTTCCTATTTCAGTCATTAAAAAACACAAACTATTCGCAATTTAATCGCAACCTGACTTTAATTCCTAACCAAATTTATGTTTTATCAGCTTCTTTCTCCTTCTTCTTCTCGTCTTATAGGTGGTATATTTGCAGACTTTTTAAGAATCAATACAAGCCTTTCAAGAACAACAATACGCAAAATGTTTGCTGGATTAGGCTTTGGATTAAAAGGAATATTCTTTATTGCTCTCGGGTATGCACCATCAGAAATTTATGCTACTATGCTACTTTCATTAGCCCTGGGTAAGTACCAATTTGTCTGCCTAATTTACTGAATGAATCAAGCTTTTTTGCTCACAAAAATACTTGCCTTACCTTCATTTATGTTTATAACTGGTGGATGGTGACTAGCAGTGGAATCCAGGATGCGCACTTCGCCCTACTTGGTCCAGTGGGTAACGCTTTGGCGTTTGAAGCAATGGGCACTGGATTCGAGCCTCGGTGGGAACATCATCACTCACTGGGGAATGCAGGTACATCCAGCCGACGAGTCCCAAATGGGACGAAATGCGCATTGTCCTGGATTCCACACTGCTAGTCACCATCCATCAATTAAGTTCTAATTACATGCCCAGACATCGTCAAAGCATCTGCACAAGAAGCCGACATGTCAACCTGAGACCGAGCACTTCAGTCCAATCAGTCAACGGGAAAATCTAAAATTCAATAAAATTTATGTAGTTTTAAAAGAATTTTCATCAAACTCTAATTTTTATAAAACCTTTGAGTTGAATTAAATTCACTGTAGCTTGCGTACACATCAAAGCTTTTATCATGCGCATAAGAGTTCAAAATTTCAGTAAAAATTATTCTGACCTAATGATATCTCATCGTCTGCTGCTGACAATTTGATACATATACATCAATGGTAAATAAAATCAATACTCAATAAGTCTCTACATCATTTATGCATAAATTATCAAAGACAACAATGTTCATGACCTAATTTTAATCAATACAAAGAACAAGGACAAACTGTTTTTAAAATAGGAGGGAATATGACAAAAGAAAAGTGTATGTATGCAACAAACCTTCAAGACAATAAGGATAAGAAGAAAGTGGGATTAGAGTTCAAACTGGAAGAGAGCTTGATACTAGGGAGCATGTTTGAGCTATTATTTGGATGATATAGTTAGTTAGTAAGTTAGACAAAAAATAGATGAAACAATTAGAGCCTTTTGGGGATATGATTGATGTTTTGGGATGCAGACACAAATACAGGGAGAGTGAGCAAATAACAGTAGTAAGTTATTGATATGGGGGAACCATAAGACCTTTTGGAATTCATAAAGAATTCATGAAGAATTCATAAAATCTGCATGAAAATCCAGTGTTATAAATAAACAATTATAGAGTAGTGATAAAGTAAGGGTAAAGAGAATAATAATAGTAATAATAAGCTTGCATAATCAAATGAAGCGACGTTATTGTAAGAACGTTTCTTTGGTTACGGAAGGACGAGTGAATACGTGTAATCCTTTTGAACGCAGAGGTCCGGCTTCAGATCCCAACTGACTAAATATTCGTCAGTGTATAGATGGATTATTCGAAGTCCTTTCATGCGATATTGAGGAACTCAATATAACACCATGTAGCAGTTATTTGGGGAGTGTTCTATGTGCCGAGTTGACAAGGTGTTCAAAAATAGAGCTACTGGCATTCTTCTCTCCTCCTCCTCCGGCTAGACAAGCTGTAATACGTTTGATGATCTGATATTGTGTACGGCCAATATACTTAGCTCTACACAAACCAGTAAACTGTTGACTACACATATGGGTGAACAAAAGTAGTTTCTTATGCTTAATGTTCAACCGAATCAACTGTCTGTTGGAGAATGTGATACGTAATGACGCTGCTTGAATAGTCTTCTTCAGAAGTTTAGAAAGGTGCTCTCTCGAAGAATTTCTGTTCTAACATCACTTTTAAATTCTAAATTCATGAAGAGAGTTCTTCTTAGGAGCAGTTGCCATTTTAGGTGATGAATGTTTTTCTTTCAAGTTTTTCTTTATGCATCTTGGTGGATACCAGTTCTCTAGTAGGGTTTCATGTAGTGATTTTAATTCAATCTCTATTGTATCTTCCGAAACGAATTTTCGAATCCCTGAGAATAATGTGTGTATTATTTTTTGCTTTATTCGATCGGTGGGACGAATCTCTGGAATCTCTGATAAACTGTCCAGTGTATGTTGGTTTGCGGTACTTTGATCTTTGGATCGATTAGTCTTGTCTTCTAGTCAGTAGTCCATCCAGGAATGGAAACAGCATGTTTGATTCACATTCTAGGATGAATTTTATTGATAAGGGTGACACTTTGAAGGTTTTGAGGAGATAGTCTAGATCGAATGTTTCATCACAAATTAAAAAAGTATCATCTACTTATCTCTTGTATAGGTGCACTTAAATTTACCAAAGGGTTGAGGAGATTATTTTCAAGGCTTGCCATGAAGCAATCAGCTAGGAGTGAACTGAAAGGAGACTCCATAACCACACCATCTTTCTTTACGTAAAATCCTTTGCTGAAGGTCTACTGATACAGACATCCTCGAAATAAAGGATTCTATTGATTTAACTGTGCGTCGGTGGCACAGTGGTAGTATGTTCACCAATCACGCATTTGGTTCGAGGTTCTATCCCTGGCCAAAGACGCACTCTTTTACCTAGCTAAACCAGTAACAAGACTGGTAATGAGGGAAGGTTGTGGGGCATTAGGCTAGCAACCCCATCCCGTAAAAATAAACACCACTACAACCAAAATTTCAAGCCTCTAGCTTGAAGCCCTATGTCCCATTGGGAATGTTAAGGTATGAAAAAAATTGATTTATCTGCAGCTTCTCATATGATAAAGGTTTTATGGAAGCAAGACTGATCAGTCAACTGGAAATTCATCCATGCGTTCCAAAAGGTTTTATGGTTCGCCTATATCAATAACTTACTACTGTTATTTGCTCACTCTCCCTGTATTTGTGTCTGCATCCCAAAACATCAATCATATCCCCAAAAGGCTCTAATTGTTTCATCTATTTTTTGTCTAACTTACTAACTAACTATATCATCCAAATAATAGCTCAAACATGCTCCCTAGTATCAAGCTCTCTTCCAGTTTGAACTCTAATCCCACTTTCTTCTTATCCTTATTGTCTTGAAGGTTTGTTGCATACATACACTTTTCTTTTGTCATATTCCCTCCTATTTTAAAAACAGTTTGTCCTTGTTCTTTGTATTGATTAAAATTAGGTCATGAACATTGTTGTCTTTGATAATTTATGCATAAATGATGTAGAGACTTATTGAGTATTGATTTTATTTACCATTGATGTATATGTATCAAATTGTCAGCAGCAGACGATGAGATATCACTGGGTCAGAATAATTTTTATTGAAATTTTGAACTCTTATGCGCATGATAAAAGCTTTGATGTGTACGCAAGCTACAGTGAATTTAATTCAACTCAAAGGTTTTATAAAAATTAGAGTTTGATGAAAATTCTTTTAAAACTACATAAATTTTATTGAATTTTAGATTTTCCCGTTGACTGATTGGACTGAAGTGCTCGGTCTCAGGTTGACATGTCGGCTTCTTGTGCAGATGCTTTGACGATGTCTGGGCATGTAATTAGAACTTAATTGATGGATGGTGACTAGCAGTGTGGAATCCAGGACAATGCGCATTTCGTCCCATTTGGGACTCGTCGGCTGGATGTACCTGCATTCCCCAGTGAGTGATGATGTTCTCACCGAGGCTCGAATCCAGCGCCCATTCCTTCAAACGCCAAAGCGTTACCCACTGGACCAAGTAGGGCGAAGTGCGCATCCTGGATGCCACTGCTAGTCACCATCCACCAGTTACAGACATAAATGAAGGTAAGGCAAGTATTTTTGTGAGCAAAAAAGCTTGATTCATTCAGTAAATTAGGCAGACAAATTGGTACTTACCCAGGGCTAATGAAAGTAGCATAGTAGCATAAATTTCTGATGGTGCATACCCGAGAGCAATAAAGAATATTCCTTTTAATCCAAAGCCTAATCCAGCAAACATTTTGCGTATTGTTGTTCTTGAAAGGCTTGTATTGATTCTTAAAAAGTCTGCAAATATACCACCTATAAGACGAGAAGAAGAAGGAGAAAGAAGCTGATAAAACATAAATTTGGTTAGGAATTAAAGTCAGGTTGCGATTAAATTGCGAATAGTTTGTGTTTTTTAATGACTGAAATAGGAAGCGAGGTGATTAATTGCGTTATTATAATTTAACGCACAACTATTTAACTTCATATGATTGCTCATTACCAAGTCATTGAGCTTTGATTGCATGGAGGATTTCATTGTGAGCTGACATCAGTTATAGAACAACTGGAAAACCAGCTGGGAGTACTGGACAGCTGTTTCGTCCTAGTTTGCGACTTTTCATCAGTACGCGCCCTCCGGGATTCGAGCTTTCTTATCAGTGATCACAATTTCAGTAGAAACCGAAGAGTTATACGACTTCAGATATAGTGGCATTAGAGAAGAGTCTGTTTTCGGCGAATTCATTTTCATAGCTGTACAATCACATATATATATGGTTGTTTTGCATGTGTGTGTACATTAGATTTGTCAAACGAAAATACAGTTAGTAAGTTTTTTGGTGGAGCTACGTAATACAAAAGTCATTCAAATGAATTGGATGTTTATATAAGAGGGTAGTAACAAAAGTGATGAGTTGTCACAAACGATTGTTAAAGAAGAGTTAAGTAATCACATGAATAGTTTGATGAGAGAGTTGTGCTCAAGGTGTACATGGAAACAAAATAACATACAGAATTACGCAAGAGTTTTAAGTAGTCAGAAAAATAAGCATACAAACAAAAGTTAAGTCAAATCAACAGAGTTTCTACCATGAGACTAGAAGTGGTTGAATAGTTTTCTTTTGTATGCATAGTTCTGGTTCTTCCAACTGAATGGCTAGGGCTTCGTCAAATGAAAAGAAGACGGAAACATATTTTCTTTGGCCAGTTGTTCTTCACTTTGTAGATTACTTTGAAGGAGGCGTTTGTTGAGATGGAATGATCAATGTTGACAAGATGTTCGATTATTGCACTCCTTATTCGGCCTCTACTTCCTTTCTGCAGCCACGCTGGGTAGTGTTCTTTGACCCTTTTTGACAGGATGCGCGTTGAACGACCGATATACATGGCTCCACAGCAGCAGGTGAACTGATATAAACACATAGAAGTGGTCAGTTGCGGGATCTTGTCCTTTGGGCTTC